AATAATTCTATCTTTTTAACAACCCGTCAAGACAATAGCAAGCAAATTTTATTCTTCACCGACCATACAGCATTCCACAGTCATGATCATCAAACAGACACCTTGCTGAGAGAATCACGCCATGACAATAGCCGGTAAATCACAGTTGCCTTACTGGCCATAGCAATTCTATCCAAACAATTCCGTTATGACAATAACAAGTAAATTACATTTTTCACTTGCCATACAACATTGCACAGTCATGATCATCAAACAGACACCTTGCTGAGAGAATCACGCCATGACAATAGCCGGCAAATCAAAGTTGCCTCACTGGCCATAGTAATTCTATCCAAACAATTCCGTTACGACAATAACAAGTAAATTACATTCTTCACAGGCCATACAACATTTAACAGCCATGATCATCAAACAGACACCTTGCTGAGAGAATCACGCCATGACAATAGCAGGCAAATCACAATTTGCCTCACTGGCCACAACAATCCTATCCAAACAACTACCGTGTATACATGAAAATCATTTACTCTATTTACAATAACAAGCAAGTCACAAACAGTACAGAATAATTCTAATGTATAACCCAAAAACCTAACTACGAAGGAAGTAACAACAAGAAACCCCAAAGTACATACTGGATAAAACCAGCAACAAACCCCGGACGCCCACAAGGATAAGCGCCGGTACATAATTACATTACATAACCCAGCCACGTGCAAGATAACAAATACATCGCAATCCAAACTGGATCAAGAAAATATGAAAAGAAAACAACCCCCCAAAAAAGGAAAAAGAAAAAACACTATAAAAACCATGCGAATAATACGAGTTGACACTACTCAAACGTTTACCTCAAGTTTCTCTTCCGCCGTCAATTCACGAGCTTGTTGTGCCGCTGGTGGTTCGGGCGCATCATTCCCCGGCGCTGGGTTTGGAACAACAGGTCTTGGGATTTGAACTTCAGCGTCCGGTTGAGGCATTCTAAATATAAATAAAATAAAGTATAAAAACTTATAATACGCATAAACAATAGAAAGGCGAAGTGTTCTTTGCTGAAAATTCGTGGGAAAAAATTGGAAGTTCCACCTTCCTCCTTGGCGCTGATCAGAGACTGAGCGGAGAGGGAGTGTTCAACGGCATTTATTATTGCCCCTTGGGACTCAGGGCCCCGTGCACTTGCATACCCTTGTGCATGAGACTTGTTATTTTAATGTTTTGGCTTCGCGCTTCGACTTTGAGTATTGTGAATAGTTAACGTGCCGTCTTTTTTACGGTTAGACTTTGCAATGTATATCAAGGTAAATTTTCCACAAGATCCTGAATGAAATTATTTTCTCATTCTTGGCTCCTCATCATGTCACGGTATTTTCTTATACACTCTTTTTTTTTTCTAAGAATATCGTTTTCCCGGGCCAGGCTGAATATTCTTATTTTTCCGCCGATTTTAGGCTGTAAATATTCTTGCATTATTCTTAATAATAGCTCATGACATTTCCGTTTTAGAATATATTAAGGTATCAATTATAGTTTTGTTAAATATAGTTAGCTAGTTTTGCCGTTTAAAGAAAGGAATAAATTGAAAAGGTATATTTGTATTGTATTTATAGATTTTCACCACACGAAATCTCAGCCTTGAGTTTATTCTTAAAGTATTCTTAAGATTTCGCAGATTTCAGCCTCGATGTTTTTATAAAATATATTCTTATAGAAAAAAAAGAGTGTAGCAAAATAATGCTTTGTATAAATCACGTTTTCGAGGTCAGTAATCTATTAAAAATAAACCCTTAAATGGCACTAACTTTGATTTTTTTTATTTTACTCAAACTAACTTTCTATTTTTTTCGAAAATAAGTTCCCTGTCGACAAAGCAAATAATCTCTTGTGATGAAGGAACTACTGAGTTCCTCGCAGTTTACACTATTTTTCAGTATTTTACGTCTGTAATTTACCTTTATAGCTTAAAAGATTCACTATCGCCCATATGAGGTCCTGTCCACACGTATCCAGATATTTTGTAAAAGGGAAATTTTTTTCCTCCGTTTTCAAACAAAAAAAACACGCGTCCACACGTACTGTATTCGAATCGTTTTCGCCCGTCTAATCAAAAACGCTAAACAATGGAAAGATAGCATCCCTCACACTCGTCCTCAAAGACTCATGAGTTATGCTAGTAGTAAATGATGTATTGCACCATCGTGTTCGAGAACCTCCGTTTTCGTCTGTCCACTTGTAAACGAGTAGCCAGCGTTTTAAAAATCTCCACTCTGACTGGAGAGCATGTTTGAAAAAAGATGCGATTTAGCTGACCGTTTTCACCGAATACGTGTGAACGGTTAGGCCAAACTAGCAGAGAAAAAAATCTCCATTTTCAAGCAAAAACGGATACATGTGGACGGACTCGACTGAGAGTTGATACACGTATTCGTTTTCATTTGAAAACGCAACTTTTTCTTTACGGATACGGCTTCCGTTCACACGTATCTTATGCAATGAAAACAGAACTTTTCGACAACGCTCTCTAGAGTTGAACTTTTTGAAAACGCTGTTTTCTCGTGTACCTGTGAACAGACGAGAAAGGAACTTTTCGAAAACGCTGAGGACACACTATCAGGTCCAATCCACTCCGAGCAATATTACAAACTTATTCAAGATGGCGGACGGGCGCTTCCCTTTTTTGTCTTTTATACTTGGACTTATTTCTAACCTAATTGCTTGTCTTCAAGCAAATTCAGCCTCGTTAATTCTTCAAGCTGATTATTCCAGGAGGCGGCAGAACATGATCAGATTACTTTCGCTACCGGTGTCAAGAGGTGGACGGTTGGATCTCCCTTTAGTTTGACTTTGGCCTTTATGCATTTTGTTCTGCTCATGTGAAGTTCGGCCTCTGAAAGATCAAATCCAATACCACCCCAGGCCTCCGCCGCTACTCCCCGGTTGAGCCGATAAAATGTCAATTAGCTGTTTCTAGTTGATTCGGACGCCGTGTACTCTACACGAACTTGTCTTCTCATGTGAGGTTATCCAGGTTCACTGTAAGTTAGAGCAATTTTCGTATGACCTTGAAATGAAAACGGGCGAACAATACAGAAACAACAAACGAATGGAAGTAGAGCGATTTGATTGGTTTATCGAACGGATACAAATTAAACGCGCGAGGCTTTTGGTTGGTTAAGCCATAGTTAGTTAGATCTGTGTGCAGGGTCGTGATCACGTGACGACGCAAAAACCATAACAAAGAGTTGTTTCTCTGAAGTTTGCCGGGTTTCATAACCAGTCCCCCTCTACTAACTATGGTTAAGCGAACGCTCGGGTGAAAAAACTTTATGCCCGAGAACTTTTTAGAAACCAACCGATACTTCGCTTTGACGTCATGCTGTAACACGATTGGCCAATCGATGAGGCCATGTTTTGATCTTTTCATCCATTGGCTGATAAAGCAAATATCGAACACTTACCGAAACAAGGTCATACAAAAATCGCTCTAGTCTCCATTTACCAAAATCTTCTGGAAAATCCGGTTGGAAAGTAATAAATGGAACACGACTTTTCGGTTCGTTCCAGCTGAACGTCTGAAAAGTTAGTCCTGTTTTTCCGGACGGAACGTTCCAATCGGAAAATAGTGTTCCATTTCTTTAAACCGTCTTCGATACCCGTTTCAGGCTTTCGCAAGCGTTTTTGGTAAATGGAACTAAATTTTACAAATTGTAAACGCGATTCCTGGAAGAAAGTTTTAAATACCAGTCCTGATTTTTGTGAACCATCTGCCCAAACCGTGGACCGACGGGTTTGCTCGAGTGAATAACTCCAGTCTTTTGGATTCCACGCTGTGGATTCCGGCTCACAGGTACTGGATTCCTGATTCCTGTGTTAGTATCAAACCTGGTTTCCGTGATTACAATCGTTGATGGGATTCCGGATCCCTTGAACTGAATTCCCACGATTTCGGATTCCACAAGCAAAGATTTGCCGGATTCCGGAATCCGGATTACCTTGGCATTGGGCGAAACTTAATTCATTGAATTCGATTTGGCTCACATGTAAAGTACGGTGTCTGAAACATGCTTTGCTAACCAGGCTGAATTGAAACATTTAATCTTTAGGATTTCGCTGTTGCGAGTGTAAAGCTGGTGTTAATAATGCACGATACGTCTTTAATCAACGAGACAGTGTGCGAATATCTCTGTCTTAAGTTTTGATGGGATATCAGTATGTGGGAAAAAATGCACCTCATTTAATGTATTTTTGAACTAAAGTGCCCTTCTTATGTGTACATAATTTAACGTTGCATACCGATTTAGACGTTTTCAGGTTTTACACATCTTTAAAAGTGTCAGCTTACATGAGTCTCGATCTCTCTATATTCTGTTCAATAAACACCCACTGATGTTTCCCAGAGGCGTAGCCAGGATTTTTCCAGAGGTACGCACGATTTTCTAAATCTCAACTTTTCTCTCCCCCTCCAACAGAAAAGTTTTTATTGTACCTGAAATGACGTAAGGAAGTTGTAAAATTCTTTGTCACCTGTTTGTGTTCATTGGCTGAAGTACTCTAAATAAGTAAGTCAACAAGCTAGCAGTATCTCAGACTTTCCCTTACAAATAAGTGATTTTTTACCGCTGTTTGCAGGCGCATTGTTTTTTACCGACAGAAGCACCCTAAGTTGACGTAATTGAGCTCCACTTTGTCTTCTGCGAAGTCGAGACGAGGTGAAAACATACAACGCGCGCGTTCCTGCGCTTTAGACTATCCATGTGCTGCTTGCCATCTGCACACCATTTTTCCACCTTTTCTTTAAATACTGTATGTCATTCTTGATTCGGTACACCAATGAATCACGCCTCTCCTCTGAAAAATGACATTCGGATATGGAAAAAAATAGTCCGTTGTTTTTGAGAAAAAATTAACATTTTAAAGAGACAGGCATGGTTAAATGAATTGAGGCAAACTGTGCTCTCTTAAATAAATTTATTAAAAAAGACTGAAGACGTTCACTGACTTATTTAAAATAAAGGTATGTTCGTTCCACTGTGCCTGTAAAAATCTCGCTTCACAGTAGCCACCCGCACGTGTCGTCGGGACGGCTTTTCCAGCGGAGGTCGATGACCATAAAGAGAAGAGCTTAAAACTGGAACCGCCTTGATTTGTTCCTATAAGCAGAGATTTAAATAAGACATAAGTACATGGCTCCTATGTGCCTGATGACACTTCTGAACTAGGGCTGAAACAACAAAAACTCTCGTGGGAGGTACAAGAACCATTAGCCTGGGTACAGAGGCCCCCTACCCAAGGGAAGGAGGACGGGAGGGGGCGTCTGTAGACAGGCTAAAACCATTTGTGACCAAGAGAGAATAATAGGACAGAGATGGAATCTTAGGGCGTTGTCCGGGATGTGTGAATTTCACTTAAGTTATATTTAGAGGTTGTGATTAAAAAGAAGAGTATTTTCTGAGACGTCCGCATATTTTAATCGATTGATTGAAACGTCATAGAGTCCACGCGCAACTGCCTAAAAGCAAGAATAATGTGCAGAATATTGTGATGACGACAGTTGAATTCTCTCCTGGCAACACTGAAAAAAGTTTGCGAACCTCGCTTAATGGATCTAAAAATAACTCTGGTGAAATTCTCATATCCCAAGGGGCTAGACTTGACGTCTTCCTCTCTGTCCAATTATTCTCTCATGTTGGGACGTAACCTTCTAAGTCAAATGACCACACCTAATGTATATCTTTCATGGGCTGAGGGTTAATTTGGGTAGGGAGGAAACATCGCTTGGCCCTAGAATTCTCTTTGTGTCAATTCCCATTCATGGTTAGTCTGGTCCTTGAACCAGGCTGGTATAAAACAAGTGATAAAATGTTTGGGGCAGGGGTAAACAAGGAGCATAATGGTCGATGTGAAAATGGTGAATTCACGAAAGTGAACCTACGTAAGAATCAGGATACCAGAAATGGGTTATAGTCCTCTAAGACAGATCACTTTCTTGAGACTAGTTCGTACCAAAATTTCACTATTTGGACCCCAAGGACAAATGCCGATTTGAAAAATTGGCTTGATCGTCTCCCTGTCATAGGTATTGTTGCCAAACGAATGGCGGATATTATTCTTTCTAGAGTTTCTAAATTGTTATAGGTGTTTGTCAATAGAAGCGGTAGAACAGCTCAAAATGAAAGCAAACAAAAACACCAACCTCAGCATTAACATTTAGACCACGAGTATGTTCTCTGTCGTCACGATGAAGTTTACTGCAGTAACCAGATTTGATATGGAATGTTCGGTCGTAGTTTGACACTCTGTCATGCTTAAAGTTAAAAGAAACAAAGCATTCAATGATGTACTAAAAGTGAAAAAGCTTTAGTAATTACTTTAATTATGCTTTGCAATGTCTAACTATTCAAGGGCTAAATATCTCACACCCATTCAGCGCCATTTTCTCTGTCGTGACTATGACTTGCTTGTAAGAGTTCCCGCGCTGAGTTTGTTGAGAGTATTGTAAATTCTCTTCAAATTTTGATTCACAGTTTCGTTTGATTGTTGTCTCTCAATAACTAAACTTTGAGTGGCTACAATCAGTACAATGGCTCCATTAATCCTTGATAACTGTCTTGCACAAGCTTCAAAGCATCCAGTACCAACTACCACATCATCTAGATCTAATACCTGTTTGTTCGTGTTAAAGTAGTTTTGCACCGCTGAGTCGGAAGAAAAATGCCTTGAAAAATTAGTTTTCCAAGCTTTAGTCAACTCTTCACTGCAGCTCGACGTAATGAGGTGAGCGTCTCTTAGGCGGTTTTCTCTCTGAAACAAATTGAAGCAGTTGAAAGTTGAAAGGACCGGAACTGTGTTATCATATTTAGGTCAGTGGCAAAACTGAACATATCTAACATCAAGGGCACAAAGATCATTAAGTGTAGCGGGAAAAAACTTACAGTAAATCTTAGAGTCGAAACGTTTGCAATGAATCAGAAATGAAAGTTAAACCCAGTTAGATTTGCTAAAGGAACGTGAGAAATAAAGTAAGCCGCACATTAGCTTATCGGTTTTATAATGTTTCAAGTAATATATCAAAAATGAGATGCAGTGTTTCATCACCAGATGAAACACCGAGAAGAGAGTTGAAAATACGACGCGCAGCGGAGTATTTTTGACGAACTTCGAGGTGTTTCATCTGGTGATGAAACACTGTGTCGAATGTTTGATATTTCTTCTCGAACAAAATCATTTTTGAAGGAGAAATTAAGGATGCAAATACTAAGCAGTGTTTCATCCGATTTCCACACACTCATTAAACATTAATTTCCTTTGTATTTTCTTAATGAATTATTAATGAGTTTGAGAAGCTGAGATGACTTTAAAAAATCTGTAAACTTTCTTGCTTTCTTGAACCCAAAAGGAACCATTCATTTGGCGCTCTCTTTTAGTTCTTGCAATTCACCGTTGATATTTACTTAACTAACAAAAGAGATCACGTCTAACAGTTTGAACGATTTAGTTCAAAGAGAAATTCACCAGTACCTTCATACTCTCTCTCCATTGTTCCTTAATTTGTTCTGGCGTGTAGGTTTTAAGACCATAGTTTGACATAAACCGTCCTCTCATTTGTCTTCCTTGTGCTGTTTCCTCCATAGTATCCTAATGCTATTAGTTTCGGTTTACGTTCTCAGCGTTTGTGACGTATGTAAGGTGACGACGAAAGTCGCGCGCGCAGCGACACCAGACTTTCTACTGTTCTGTACCTTTGGAAAATATCTGGCGCACTAGCTCATCCATACAGGGCACCAATGAGATTATTATCTCAAGAGGGCGCCCAATAAACCATGCTTAAAAAGCTGTTGCCAAACAATTGGAAATTACTTTGGAAGAGTCAGTTTGAGTCAGTTTCGATATGTTCGTGTCGTTAAATCAACATTGAGCCGATCAACTGCATTATGCGGAAAAAAATTGATTTGCGAACTTAAACGAAAGCTTTTGGGTGTGATTTTTGGAAATATTTAGGAATCGGGAAAGAAAAACACTTGCATTATAGTTTCTTATGAAATTTCTGATCACACCATTTCCCTGGATGCCTACAGTTTGACTTACGAAGCAAATCCTGACCAAGAGGGAAAGGGAAAAAGTGTTAAGGACTAAAATTAAAGAAAATTATTAAAAGTAACTAATTAACTAAGAATCCTAGTCAAATCAATGGTAAGGAGATTTATACTACTACATGAAAAATTTCTGCAATTTGATTGGCTTAGAGCAGTGGTATTTCAGCTTAATTTGAAATGCCTGCATGTGAAAATTACAAACCTTTTGCGGGTAGTAGTATAAACAAATAATAGCATGATTTGTACGTGATATTTGGCATAAATACCACTTGTGATATTTCAAAATTGTCTCAAATTTCACTCGCCTAACGGCTCGTGAAATTACGTATAACAATTTCGAAGTATCACTCGTGTTATTTATGCCAAATATCACTACAAATCATGCTATTACCTATACAAATATTAAACACTAAATAATTTCAGTTGGTAGGCCTCTGTGTTCCCGCCCAAAATAATCCTAGCTACCCTGGTTGGTGTTCGTTATATTTATATTTTTCCCCAAGGCCAGCAGTTAATTAGCCGACTTTTAAGGGCTTTTTCTTTAAATTTTTGATAGATTTTTAACTTCTTTTAAACTTTTCTATTCGTTAAAAATTTGGATCCCAAATGATGAAAGGCAAAAGCCAGGGAAAAGCTCTTCCAGTAATTTGCAAGAAATTCCGGCAGATATACAACCTAAAGCCCTGGGGACGAGGTTGGCAGATATAGATAGCACGTAGAATTTGGGATGCCTGTGGTCAGTTACAAACGTGGGGGACTAAAACCCAGACAAGAATCCAACATGGCGGCCAAAGCAGTACCTCAGCCTGCGAAGAAAACCTTGTCAAAAAATCTTATGGCAATGAAGGTAAGCGTAATTTTACTTACCTTGATACCTTAAAGAGCTAAATTTTAATCCTCTACTCAAGTAATTTCCTCTGTATTGGATTATTTTAGTTCATGAAAAGAAAAGCAGAGTCTGATTACCGGCGGCAGCTTGAAGAAGAACGACAACGTGCCATCGAGGAATCACACTGGGTAGTGGAAGGACAAGAAAATGAGGACGGGTAAGGCACTGGAACAAGTAGAAATGCGCAAGGTTTCTATGAATTTTCATTTTTGTAGGTATTTTGTTCTCCTGATCGACTTGAATCCTTTGAAGTTTTCAACTTAACATACAAGTTAATACTTAGCACGTGTACAGTAAGCTTATGTTGTCCTTGGTCTGCGACTTTGTTCGAATGTGATGAAATATTTCGTTGAGAAATAAAATACAGAAAAATAAATGTGTCGAATGATTTATTGATCAGTCTTCTTTCGTGTGACGAAGTTTCGGCTTTCCTGCTGTTGGTGAAGGCACTAAATTCAAGTTTGTCAGGGATGTCAATTTGTCTTTCTTGAAGTTTGTGCTTTTGGTCATGTTTACTTGCCTTGTGAATAAATAAAACGCAACAGGAAGACGTGCCTTTCTGCAGAACAGGTTTCTATAGAAACCTATTTCTGCCGTTGGAAGCACATTTGCTGCAGACTTTTTATCGATCGACTCTTGAAAAATATTACCAAATTTCGCGTAGTGGTCCTTGGTCCAGGACTCGTGGAATTACATTTCGCAAAATAAATGAAACCTTTTGGAGACGGCCTTTGTTTTCAAAGAATGTTTTCGAAATCTTCCTTATATATGTACATCTTTACAAGTTCTCTTTTTTAAATATTTTGAATACATACAGAGTTTCTAGTAATTATTTTTGACTGCACTGAGTATTAGCTTATAGCATAATTGTATCAAGAATTAAAAAAAGACGTGAAATGTTGTGAAAATTTCGTTTTCGTATGTAAACTCTGAAATTCTCATCTTCTTTTCATTCTGTGTACATGAGTCACGGACCAAGGATCACACTTACGGACCAAGGACCATTGAGCATGGTCACGTCTTTTCAAATTACAAGCAAAATATTTAAGTTTGGAACTTTATCGCGGGGGACATAAAGCTATCTTCAGGGAGTATTTCAGGTAGTTACATTTTGATTCAGGTAAGGTATTCAAGATAGTAATTTGTCATGGACCATGGACTACTGTATGATCTGATATCTCTTGAAGGGGCTGTTGACATATTCACTTTTTCCCCACTTAATGCCAACTGGATGTTTAGGTCAGAGCCCCTAAACAAGCCCAGGACTTTTGCATATAGTACTTCCCAACCCCTGGAATTTCCTATTTTCCTTTTGTGGTCTAAAGTCACAACATTGAGAAGTTATTGACCATTTACCACTTATTATAACTGATACATTTTCTTTGTTTTAAAGGCAGTATTTCTTATGTATGTACATGTGTTTAGCACGCTTGATTAAATAAATGTTGTTTGAACAAAAACATTTACTACTGTATTTCGTCAAATAATAGCCATTCTTCGATTCATCGCTGCCCTTAAATAATCACCCCCTTTAAATGGAAATATTTGAAATAGTTGCCTCCTTTGAGTAATCGTTACCCCCCTCTCCATAAAACTTGGTTTTAGGCTTTTCACGTCATATAGTGATGTAGTAATGGCAAGGACATGCACCAAAAAGCGTGATGCACATGCAAAGTTGTTGTTTTGCTAAACAAACCAATTGCTTCTTTGATGTTCTTTGTGCCATCACTATTGTCATTGCTAAAGCTGTCTATTATTGTCTCAATAGTTTTTAATTTAACAATTAATGAATGAGGCTTATGAAGAATTATGGAGATCGAGGAGGGGGTTATCCGTCTCAAGTTTAAAAACATGTTAAGTTCATCTTCAATAGTGCACGTTTAGGGTTGTTCAGCTCTGCAAATATTCTCCAAATAGCAGATGTCGCCCTTCGAGTTGTCTTCTTGCTTTTCTTGCTATGCTTTTAGCTATTTTTTCGTCTAGTTCCAGCTGTAGTTCTTACTCTTGAAACGAGTGAAATGTCTTCTTGGTTAACGGTGCCATAACCAGCAGAGGGCTGCATTTCCTCGTTAAACACAAAATTCTTCCAAATTTGGTCATCAGTAACTAGTTACGGTGAATTATGCATGTGCTTTTAGCCAATCGGAATTGGGGAAATATTTTGAATGAATGATAAATAGGTGTTAATACATGCATAATTGTTTACAAATCCCTGTCTGTTTTAAATACTTTACTTTACTAATATCAAGGTAGTTTTGTTTCTCAATTTATTTTAAGAAGCCGCATCGAGTTTGAACCCAGTTATGCAAAATGTGAGGATCTTTATCCCTGTGGAAGGATGTCATTCAGGAACTTTAATCCAACTGTTGAAGTAAGTTTGATTCTGGGTAATATAATAATAATCCTACACTTTCCAACTGCTTTTCTTGTCTTAAACCATATACACCCCTCTTTTTTACCATAAGAGCATCACAATGGGCAGTTACACTGTAACTTGCATTCACATCTACTTTAAACTCTATACTTTAACTCTGTACTATACTATACTTTAAACTCTACTTTAAACTCTATATATAATTTTATACTAAAATTGGCGGTCAGAAAATTGGCGTCCTTATGAGACTTAGAAACTTATGCTTTTTAAAACAGCAATATTGCCGCACCTTACATATTGCCACCTTGTGTGGCACTTTTGCCGAGCCAGTGATTCTCGCAAAATCAAGCGGATGCAAGAAAGGGGTCTGCGTGCTGTTTTTAGGAACAATGTTAGCTACCCTGAACTTCTAAAAAGAGCAGAAATGCCAAGTTTACAGAACAGGAGACTACAAGACGTTTGTGTTTTAATGTATAAGAAGAACAGGAACAATCTATGTCCCCCTATATCAGTGACATTTTTATTAAGCAAAGATCCAAGTATAACTTAAGGCAGTACAACACAGTAACATATGGCAAGCACTCCCTCTGCCACTTGGGGCCCAATCACTGGGGAAAATTATCCCCAGACTTGAGAGAAGTTACCACCTTAAAATGTTTCAAAAACAAAATACGTGCATTAGATATAGTTACACTAATGGATAATGGATGCAAGTGTTGTCATCTCTGCAGTTCATAGACATATTTGTCATACTGTAAATATTGTTAATGTCATTATTTTTGTATTTCTTATTTTTTTTTTATACCTGCCCTTATATGTAAATATTTTTTAACCTTTAAAAATAATTTATATTTATTTATTTTGTGTCCCCTAATTAGCATAGGTTTTTAACTTAAGCCAGGAGGCTTCTTTAGACACCTTAATAAAGTTTCATCATCATCATCATCATCATCAACTGTACTCAGTAGACCATTTTTTTGACATTCGTTGTACTACAATACATGTATCTTGAAATCTGCTAAAACAAATACAAATATGTAGAAATATATAACCCCCTGTACATACATGTATGTAGCTTTTAAGTGGTCTGAAAATCATATGATAGTACAAGAGATTTATACAATGTTTATGTTGTGGTTCAATTTTGTCCTTTGTTTAATTTTATTTTCCTTTCTTTTAATCTCAGAATCATGCATTTCCAAACCCCAAAACAAAGGAAAATGAAAATTAAGCCAAGGATAAAATTGAACCACAATATATACATTGGCATGTTCTTAAATGTGCAGTTAAATTCAACTCTTTGCTTGCATGAGAAGCCAAAGGAGATTGTATTCCAGTAATGTTCTCAATGCTCAGTCTTCAAATAAATGTCAACAGAAATTGTTTAAAGAGATGCAAGCTGAGGAAGATATGGCAAGATCAGAGGAACGAGAGCGGGAAGCAACTGTCTCTGATGAAGAGATGGCAAGAAGGTAACAACTACTTTGTTAACTTTTTGTGAAAACTTGAAAATTTAATTTTTATGGTTTAATGCCTACATTTTGTTAGCCTTACTGACCTCACTATACTTGTACATGTGCAATGTATTGTAGGGCCTCTTATTTTGACATACAATCTAAAAAAGTCATCTCTATATCAATATGACAACCTATACTGTACATGTAACATACCTATGTTATGATTCATTATCTTGAGAGCGTACATGTATTCTCAAGAAATAAAATCCTCTGGATGGATATATGGCTGGATACATGCACATGTAGGTTGGAAAGTTTGGGTGGATCACAATAGAGCGCTTGGCCACGAGGTCATATGTTCCGCCCATGTTCCAACCCTAAACATGTAGTTCATGGTTGTAAAGAGTCAACTGGTTTAGCTCAGGCCAGTTGGGATTCATGACCTTGTCAGTCAAAATGAAAACTACTGGTTTACCAGTAAATTTGTTACCCCTATAGAGTCAGTTTTTTAAATACATAATGTAATGATAAAAGAGCTTAAGAGCATCAGACAGAAGGGCTTTCCCTTGCTGATAATTCAATAGATGCATGTATACATATGACTGGAGCTCTTTGCTGATCAAATATATTACTAAAGCAAAAAGCCATGGTAGTGAAACTTGTGTAGTAGGAAGCAGAACACTTGAGGTGGTGTGACCAGTGATGTTTTAGTAGGTATACCTCCCAAGTTTTAATATTTGCTGCATCAGCATTACAAAGATATCAGCTTTATTGTATGAGGATAAAGATTTGTTATGATCCATGTAAGGAATTTAGAAACTGCTTGATATTTTTTAATCCTTAATCAATTTAAATAACCTCCAAGTTTCAAGGACATTAAAATCAAGGAATGCCATGAAATGGCACTTCCAATGTCTCAAAGATTTTGTGTTTACCAAGTAAGCATCCTCATTATTCACTGGCATTGTTTCCAAGTTTGGTCCGCACCTGAATGAATGAATGAATGAATGAATGAATGAACTACATTTAAGTTTCAGAGCATTTAGCTACACAGTAGCTAATTGTGGACACTAAAAAAGATTCAAAATACAAAAAATTAAAATTAAAATGGCAATTCTACAAGTGTTAAACAGCTATTTTAAAAATTTACGATCATTTTTTAAGGCAGGGAAGGTTCATAATAAAAATCTAGGAAAAGCTGCACTATTCACAAAATTTGATATCGTTTAGTCCCAAGAAAAACTGATATTTAGAATATTCACGAATTATAACTTTTTAGTTAAGAAGTGATGAAGTTCCATTGCAAATGTGGTTTAGTGATACATACTGTAAGTTACAGTTGGTGCATGTTCTCTCAATAAAAGAAGTCAAATCTTCCTTTCTGATGTTCCATTTAAAATTGTCCAGCCAGGGTCGCTGTGGATCACTTAAGGATGGTTTTGACCTGCAGTGTACAAAATTTGTCACTTGCAGTGAAACCACTCACCTGCGGCTCGTGGTTCCACCTGAGTTTTGAACATTTCATGACATCACCATATGTGGTCTAAGAGTGTAGACCATGGACGATTGTGGTCGATTTGTTAATAGGACCGCTTACAGGTGTATATTGCATTTGTGAAGGTCTAAAAGTACTCGCTGGTTAGTCTAGACAAGTGTTTTCAATGCATTTGGGAGAAAACCGTTGTTGGATGCCCCTGAAAAAATAACTAAACCTCGTCTGAAACCCAGGGTACCTCCAACCAAACAGCTTTGTCTTATTTCCTTTTTTGTCATTCAGCATGTCTGAAGGGTTGTAGTTATCATAGTATATTGTGTTAACCTCAATTTACCTACAGATGCATAATTATTTAGTTGAAATGGGATAATGTGATGATGATTATTGGCTAAAAGACACACGTTAAGGCCGATCGTCATACATGTATGCATCTATATAACAACAATTACTTTTAATGACAAGCACAATGTACTCCTCCTACTCTACTCCATTCAATATTGTTATTAGCCTGTGAGGAAGCTTTTTTGACTCTGAGGGAAGAGCCTGGCCAATAGAAAGCTTCAGTTTGTAAGCAATGCTACTATCAGCTGCTTAGTACCTTCTAAAAAGAACATTAAAGAAACCCTTCTATTTGTTCACTTTTAAATAAAATTTTAATTCTCTTTATTGTAACAGATATGAAAGTCTGGTGGGTAAAGTAGCCAAGAAATTTTCAACAAAAAGAAAACGTTCATCAGCAGGTGCTATTAATTTTGAAGCAGAAAGTCCTGCCTCTCATCAGCCATCAAAGAAAACGAAAAGAGGTTTTATGAAGCCAAGGGAATGATACAGAGCGAAATTTAAAAGATAAAAATTATTATTTAAGATTGAATTGAGGAGATCCCACTACAGGTAGCCATTGTGGAGAGGTTTCACTGTAGTTAAGCGGTATTTTAAGACGGAATCCACCAGGAAATTTAGTAATTTTAATTTTGAGTGGACAAAAACCTTGTACCTCAATAATTTAAAGAATATTGCAGGTTTTTTTTTGTACTTTGCAAGGGCTAAAGATGTAATTAGCCATCTGCAATAACACCAAAGAAAATTTCTCATGGGAGTCTGAGAAAATGAATGTCAAATTTAACAAGAATTGTGAAAACATAAGTAAAATTCTGAAAATCTCATGTGTAAGATGTAATTTTGTGAAATTTGACATTTATTTTCTTGGGCTCCCATAAGAAATTTTTTTGGTGTTATTACAAATGACTTATTAGATCTTTAGCCCTTGAAGAATTACAAAAGAATGCAACGTGCTTAAAATTATTCTGCTACAATTTTTTTCCTCTCAAAATTAAAATGACTCAATTTCCTGGTGGATTCCGTCTTAATATGTTTTCCCTCACACTGAATATTCTATTTTCATCTTCCTCAATTATTTTACAATGTACAAGGAAAATTTAAAAACCCTTGCTGATAGGCATTTACATGGAGGCACTCTTTTAAACTCAACGAAAAGGAAAGTTTGAAAAGAATTGTTGTTTACTAAAGATTTGAATCTATAAAACTTTCGATTATATATCATGTGCTTTTTAAGGAAAAAAGCAATGTAGGTTTGCTTCCTATAGTTGCAAGAACATTTTGCTTTTTTTAGAAGTTATTATATACATTTTTTTTACATTTAAACTGACTTTCCAATTTAGTTGTCAATTAAATCGTGTATCTGAAATATTAGGAGCTTAACTAGCCAGGTCTGAAGCTTCTGTAACGACTCTAGAACAACTTTCATTGTTGTGTGACTGTTGCTAAAACGACTTGGTTATCACACTCTTGAAACAGCTCAAGTAGGGACAAAATGTGTGTTTCTTTAATAAAGATGTCTTTGAGGCCTGTATGATAATATGGTATGAAAAGAAACCTTGTTTAATTTAGTTTAATATTTGATAAACGTCCAACGTCGTGACTTTTAAATTATTCTGAGGCCACTCAATATTCAATAAACCATCCTCTTAATGTTTGGTTTAGACGAGAGCCATACTGTCCCTTTATTGCTCTTGGTTTAGATTATCAAAGTGTAATCAATTATTGTGAAATTTTTTTATGTAAGTTATTCGATCTCCACCCCCTCCCCCTCCCCCTCCTTCAAGCTAGCGTGAGGCGATTTGTGGCGGTAAAAAGTGTGAGACCTATGGGAGCGTCTTGTTAAAAGATGATACAAGCACACAGGTATTAGAGATAACGATCTAGCATTTTATTGTTAAACAGTAAGATAAAAGTGATTATATCAGTGGGTAAATATTTCTTATTGTTACAATTACCTCTAACAGCCTTTGCGGTTCCACAATTGATTACCTATAGTATTCATAACACAAAAAGTAAAGGTAATTTTTTTAGTTTGTCTTCCTTCATTGACACAAAGTAAGTTATCCATAAAAGGTCAAAAAAGAGATTATATAAATGATTATTACCAAGAGACTATAAAGGGGACAGAGAGGGCATCCCCCATATACGCCCTATTCCATAGGTAATTCGTCTCGAGTTATTTTTAGAATCGGGATAAAGTTACCTCGCGCGAGGCGTGGATGTTTCGTGGAGGTTTCGCATGACCAAACGCCGTGCAAAACATGTCGGGCGAGGGGCAATGAAAGCGTAAAAAGATCGAGAGCATTCCTGAATATTGAAGCGAAATGAGTCGGCGCTCACCTGGGAAAAGGGAATCGCTGGACTCTTTGACAACCCGTGAAATCAGTTTAACTCGAAGTTGTCGTAACCTCAATGCTTTAATAAAATGAGAAATTTCGCCGGTCTATTGAAACCGGTCGTTTGTACAATTTAGGGAGTTTAAGATCCAACGACGCGGACGACCACTAGAGCGTCAAAAAAACAATAGGTTTAATTAGCAAAACAACAACTTCGCACGTGCAAGACACTTTTTTGTTCATTTCTTTCCCGTTTTTGCACGACTACGACGTGAAAATGCCTAATTTCGCGTTTTATGGAGGACGTAAATAAGCAACGACGAAATTTATATCTCTTTCTGAGCTTGAATATGGTCCCTTGAAATTCAGCTTTAGGAGGGTTCGCCTACAATTGACAAAGTAAGTGGGTAGGAATAATCGCTATAAAGTAGACTGAAAAAAATAAACATCAAACCAGAAATTGCTCTCTTCAAACTGTAAATTATAAATGATCCAGAGAGAATATTCAGTGTGTTAAGGATTTCCCTGCTCAACTGTTAGCTCTATACAAGAGAGGAAGGGCGATTCTTTTTTAATTTCGGTTTCGCTGACACAGCTTTCGCAGAAATCTCTCTGTAGTCGTTTTCGTCGACAAAAGGAATAGCAAAATCGCTCTCCGCGTCTTCCCCCATTTTGTTCTGCGTCATTTCGTGAAGGACGCGTGGCATCCACGCGGAACACATTCGCGCTTTGTGATTGGCTGTTGTCTAATCCCCCTTGAGATCTGTGGTGTTAAAAATAACTCGAGACGAATTACCTATGGAATAGGGTGTATATGGGGGATGCCCTCTCTGTCCCCTTTATAGTCTCTTGTTATTACTAAATGTAGAACATGAATTATGCCCTGCATTGCACTGACTGATAGTTTCAGAGCCATAGCAAGGGGTTCTAAAAGTCTGCTCTGGCGATTGAATGTTTCCTCTCGTATAACAACATCTAAATGACTAAATAATTACACTGTCTGTGTATTTATTATTATTCATTCAAAATATTTCGCTGTTTCTGAATGGCTTTTATCCCCGGCTTATTCGTCATAATCTACTGGGGCGCTGACCATATTTGGAAGATCGAGCAGATCACAAACTCGTTTGCAGGAAGCGGCGCGACAGACTAGCTATTTTCTTGAGTGCAGAACTCAAGAAATTGGAGAAAGATTCATGGCTATCCAAAGACAAAATAGCCGAATTATTGACTAAAACTGCAAGGAACAAATACAAGAATACGCCCAAAAAATCTCCATGAGACTGTTCATATTCTAAAACTGTGCCGAGAAAAAGTCAAATGTTTTGAAGGAAGTCTGCAATTTCAAATGAATAATTAAAGTTTTCTTATACCTTGGTGGATAACACCTTATTCTTCATATCTCAAGGAAGTCGAATTCAATAATTGTTGATTAACATAATACGAACTAGATACTATTACAAAAATTAAAAAAATGTTTACATTCTGTTAGCAAACACAACGCTCTTTAATTAAGAATTCACTATAATACCACCAAACCTATCTTTAGAGTAGTTTACTGAATGATTTTTCCGTTCTATTGTAATTATCAAAGGACTATTTCAACAAACTCTTGAAAACGTCACAATATTCGACTAGTATTCCCTAACGTCTAATGAGAAACTGTAACACAAAGGTCAATACTGTATGGTACAAAGATTAGCACTCTACCAGAAATACGTGTCTCACAACATTTTTACGTGACTTTTTGATATCGTGAGATTAACGATAAAGGAAACACTATACACGATGTACAAGATCTTTCATGACAAGGCGACCTAGTTAAGCCATGACAAGCAAGAGCAATGGATAGGTGACCGGCTACAAATACCCTGTCCCGTAGACTCCTTTTCCTTTCTTTCTTTCCTTTTCTAATTTGTTTCTTCTCTGGCCGTCAGATTGGATGGAAAACAAACGTTCGAGTTCACATACAAAATCCACAAGTAAGCTACAACGGCTGAAGTACGGGACAGAACTAAACCAGTCTCCAATTCCTCAGGTGGAAAATGCGCCGAGTTGATTTTTGAGTCGCCTCGATGTAATATGAATTCAAAGGTATATTTCAGGGACATGAGCTGGGATTGAGGAAGGCAAAAAGCCGATCTTTCCGACACAGCCGACAGAAGAAAACCCGTCTGCGAAGTGAGACCCTTCACAAATGTTCCCTTGCCACGATTTTCGCTCTCATTTTGAATCTGATGGTCCAAATCACATTTTTCTGGAAAATACTTCTGTCGGTGAAATTCGTCGCCAAAAGTACAGTTCTAATAACTTTAATACGCAAAAATGGTTAATAACTTTGTAAGCAACAAAAACGAATGTCGTTACTGCAGTGAAATGAGTGTATTTTCACAGCAATGACCAGCGAAAGGTTCATTAGAGATATTCCGTGTAAGGTAGTATTCATGGAAGTGAGCTTTGTCCACCCTGATGTTGATGTTGAGCTTCCCTGGTTGATTTTAAGGCAACTTCGTTAAGGACTGCGAATGCTGCCTCTTTCATTGTTTTCAAGCAGTCCTTCAGAGCCAGATATGTAGTGCCGAATGACAAGGCGCTGGCAACTACTGAACCTAACAAGGGGAGAAAAAGACGAACCCCTTCCTCGGCGGCCGTCTCCGTGGCATAGGCTGCCAACCATCCGGCGCCTTTTGAGGCTATTTCCAGAAGTGACAAGCCCATTTTAACTTTGACTTTCGTAGCCTCGGTCAGCATCTTAAATGTGTCTGAACTTTCGTCAGGCAGACCAAGCTGAGATCTGTAAAAATCCAGTTCTTTGAGAATCAGACCGAGATCAGCTGCTGCAGAAACACCAGGAATCGGAACCATGGCGACAACAGCAGAAGCTCCGGCAACCAGGCATATTCGTCCTTCGAGGACTTTGACTTTTCTCTCTAACGTTTCAGTTGACAAGTGCTTTAGAATGCCAAGAGACAAGGTCAAACACTCGCGCTTGTCTTCAGTTGGCAAAACATCTAGAATGGCTTGTGCGAGCTTATCGAATTCCCCTTTTGTAGTATCCTTGCTGCTTATCAGAAATATATCTTGCTTATTGCTCATCTGTTCACCCAGTTTTTTTAGGCAGTCATTTCGTACTTTTTCAAGCACACCTTTTTCACTGATTGATCCTGGTTTATTTGAGGAAATTTCGTTTGAAATATCCTGATCCATTTTCGAGCGAACGAAGAAAAACTTCTTGTCAATCGATGAAATGGCTTCCGCCAAAATTGAGATGTTTTTGTGGATTCTTGTCGCCATGAAGATGAGAAACATGTCGTACGTCGGTAGATCTACCTTGTGGCCGTACTCCTCTGCAGGGAATTCACTGGTCCCCATTCCTGGTAAATCCCAAAATATAATGTTGGGATACTTTGGGTGAGGATATCGGTGCGGTTTATTAGTGCAATCAGTTTCAGAACCAACCTTGGCTGCTTCTGGTTCATAGTCTTTAAGTCTGCGATAGAATCATTAATACATTCAGTGAGTTTATTTGTGGTTTATACGTTTCAGAGATTATCATATTTTAATCGTACACAGACTTGATCCTTTTTTCCTTGTTTCTGACACGTGAAATTCAGCTTTTGTGCGTACGAGATACTTCCGATCAATAGACCTTTTGCATTAGCTGATCATGTGATCAACTTTCCGTAAACACGAAACAATTCGCTTTTGAAACGTTTTATTAGCACGAGCTGAAAGAGCATATTAAAATTAGGTAACCTGTGAATTTTCAGAAGTGTATCTCAAAACTAGTAGACTGTAAGCAGTCCGCCTTTTCCCTTTATAAAATCCGTTTGCAGACGGAATGAGCGCGTTGGCGCTGAAAATGCTTTAAGCGAAAAAGTGACTGGGGCGAGATGAGAAGTCTGTTATTTACCTTCCCCTCTCGGGCTTACACCCTCATTTCTCGCAGGTCGCATGTCATACCACCCAGGGTATTTGAAGAAAATCAGAGACTGCTTGCAGTGTACAAAGGTAGCGATTGCAATGGCGGCCGAAAATTAGAAGGATTTGTGTGAGGAAAACAACTCTTGCTACCCAGTTACGTTACAGTGGTTGTCCATGCAAATCCCTGTAAATTTCTAAATTTTTAGACTGTCGTGAATTATTCCTTAAGGATTATGGGGCTCAAAAATGCTTTTAATTCATAACAGGCAATTTGAATCCTTAAATACGTAAGGGAAAGATGTAACGACAGATTAAAAAGTTCAAAATTTACTAGGATTTGTATAAAAAACCACTCAAGCGTGACTGGGTGGCAAAAGTAGAGAGGGAGGGAGAGAGAGAGAGAGAGAGAGAGAGAGAGAGAGAGAGAGAGAGAGGCAGATTCATGTGCGTATTTGCTACGATCGATAGGTATTTGCTACGGTAGCAAATACTCACTAGTAGGTATTTGCTACCTAAGTGAGTATTTGCTACGGTAGCAAATACTCACTGGTAGGTATTTGCTACCTAAGTGAGTATTTGCTACGGTAGCAAATACTCACTGGTAGGTATTTGCTACTCGAGGTAGGTATTTGCTACGGTAGCAAATACTTACAGGTAGGTATTTGCTACGTAAGTGAGTATTTGCTACCGTAGCAAATACGTACGGAAGGTTTTTGCGTCAAAACTAAGGACTTTGCAGCTAGTAAGGGGTACTTTAGTCCCGCTGCACGAATTCGTATTAATAGCCAGCGTTGCAAACTATTTTAAAGTAAATACATAATTAAAGGCCCAAGTAGGGCCAAAACATGGTTCAGCATAGAGATCATGGTTTATGTGGAAACAACGCTTGGCCGGTGAAATTATTTTTGAAAGCTGTTTTAAAGAGGCAACCCGTGTAAAATAATATATCGTTATAGAAAACTTAACGAGAACTAAATAAAACTTTTAAAACTAAGTTGATACTTAACGGAAAAAAACAACGGCTTCTTTAGAAGCCATCAAGTTTTAAAAAGTCTCAACCAAAAGATACCAAACACAGCTGATTGGTCTAAGAATAAACCGAGCTGTGAGCCGAAGAATCACCACACCCCGCGGTAGGTAACTGGTGTAACCATCATATAGTGATTTCACATTACTTAATATGCAATGTAACTGTTCCCAGCTCTATACTAAATAGCACTTCATAGCCCTATATAGCCCTACATAGCCCTACATGGCCGTACATAGCACTTCATATTCCTATATACCCCTACCTAGCTCTTAAAGACTGGTTTTCTAGCTAGAACGTTTGTACATAGCCGTGCATAGCCGTAGAAAGCAGGGAATAGACGCGCATAGCTGTACGTAAGCCCAAAATAGCCGTGCATAGCCGTGCACAGCCGTGCATTCCCGTACACAGCAGTGCGCGGCCGTACATTGCCGTAGATAGTCGTGTATAACCGTGTATAGCCGTAACGTAGCTGTACAAAGCCGTACATAGCCGTGCACAGCAATGCAAGGTCGCACATAGCCTTGCAGAGCAGTACATGGCCGTTAATAGCCGTACAAAGCAGGGAATAGTCCTGTATAGGCGTACATAAGCCCTACAAAGCCCTGCCTATCCCCACATTGCTGTACGGTCATGCACGGCTATACAGTGAGTGAGTGAAAACTTTATTTACCCACGGTAATCTTATATCAAATAACTTTACAATTAAGTATGTTATCCCTAAGGGCCATGCAAACGGCTAGGTACGGCTACGCACGGCTATGTACGGCAGTGTACGGCCATGCACGGCATTGTACGACCATGGGTGACAATGTACGGCTATGCACGACTATGCACGGCTATATATGGCCATGCACGGCTATGTACGGCTATGTACGGTTATGTACGGCTATGCACAACTATGCATGGCTATGTCCGGCCATTAACAGCTATATATTGCTATGTATGGCTATGTAGGGTTATTAACGGCTATATACGGTTATTTACGGCTATGCACGTCTATGTCAGCCATGCATGGCTATGTGCGGGTTTTTACAGTTAGTACGGCTTTGTACGGCTATGCACGGCCTATTTACGGCCATGTACGGCTATGTATGGCCTTGCACGGCTATGTACGGCTATGCACGGCTACCTACGGCTATGTACGTCTAGGCACGGCTATGTACGGCCATGCAAAGCTATGTACGGCTATGCATGGCTACCTACGGCCATGTACGGCTATGCACGGCTACCTACGGCTATGTACGTCTAGGCACGCTATTTACGGCCATGCACAGCTATGTACAGCTACCTACGGCCATGCACGGCTATTTATGGCCATGCACAGCCAGCCACGGCTACGGCCATGCACGGCTTTTCACCTCTATGTACGGCTTTGCTGAGCTATGTAAGGCTATGTACGGGTATGTAACGCTATGTACAGCTATGCACGGCTAAATACGGCTATGCACGGCTATGCACAGCTATATACGGCCATGCACGGGTATTTACTGTTATGTACGGCCATGCACGGCTATTTACGGCTATTTACGTTTACGTACGGCTTTGCAGGGCTATGCACAGCCATGTACGGCTATGCACGGCTACCTACGGCTATGTACGTCTAGGCACGGCTACTTACGGCCATGCACAGCTATGTACGGCTATGCATGGCTACCTACGGCCATGTACGGCTATGTATGGGCATGCACGGCTACCTACGACTATGTACGTCTAGGCACGCTATGTAAGGCCATGCACAGCTATGTACGGCTATGCACGGCTACCTACGGCCATGCACGGCTATGTATGGCTATGCGCGTCTGGGCACGGTCATGTATAGCCATGCACAGCCAGCCACGGCTACGGCTATGCACGGCTCTTCACCTCTATGTACGGCTTCGCTGAGCTATGTAAGGCTATGTACGGGTATGTAAGGATATGTACAGCTATGCACGGCTAAATACAGCTATGCACGTCTAGGCACGGCTATGTACGGCCATTCACAGTTATGCACAGCTACCTACGGCTATGTACGTCTAGGCACGCTATTTACGGCCATGCACAGCTATGTACGGCTATGCACGGCTACCTACGGCCATGCACGGGTATGTATGGCTATGCACGTCTTTGCACGGCTATGTTCGGCCAAGCACAGCTATGTACGACTATGCACGGCTACCTATGGCTATGCACGTCTTGGCACGGCTATGTTCGGCCAAGCACAGCTATGTACGACTATGTACGGTTACCTACGGCCATGTACGGCTATGTAAGGCTATGCACGTCTAGGCACGGCTATGCACGGCTAGCTACGGCTACGTACGGCCAATCACGGCTATTTACGGCTATGCACGATTATGTACGTCTAAGTACGGCTTTGCAGGGCTATGTAAGGCTATGTACGGGTATGTAACGCTATGTACAGCTATGCACCGCTAAATACGGCTATACACGGCTTTGCACAGCTATATACTGCCATGCACGGGTATTTACGGTTATGTACGGCTATGTAGGGCTATGTACGGCTATGTAGGGCTATTTAGGGCTATGAACGGCTATTTACGGCCATGCACGGCTATTTACGGCTATTTACGTTTACGTACGGCTTTGCAGGGCTATGCACAGCCATGTACGGCTATGCACGGCTACCTACGGCTATGCACGTCTAGGCACGGCTATGTACGGCCATTCACAGCTACCTACGACTATGTACGTCTAGGCACGCTATTTACTGCCATGCACAGCTATGTACGGCTATGCACGGCTATCTACGGCCATGCACGGGTATGTATGGCTATGCACGTCTGGGCACGGTTATGTATGGCCATGCACAGCCATGTACGGCTATGCACGGCTACCTACGGCTATGCACATCTAGGCACGGCTATGTTCGGCCAAAGCACAGCTATGTACGACTATGCACGGTTACCTACGGCCATGTACGGGTATGTATGGCCATGCACGGCTATGTACGGCTATGTACGTCTAGGCACGGCTATGTACGGCTATGCACGGCTAGCTACGGCTATGTACAGCTACAAACGGCTAGCTACGGCTATGTACGGCCATTCACGGCTATTTACGGCTATGCACGGTTATGTACGTCTAAGTACGGCTTTGCAGGGCTATGTAAGGCTATGTACGGGTATGTAAGGCTATGTGCGGCTATACACGGCCAAATACGGCTATATGCGGCTAAGTAAGGCTATGCACGGCCATGTACGGCTAT